CTCGTATATTTAACGGAGATTTCAGTCATCATTTACAGGAATTATATTTTGTTATGATTGTAAACTGTGTAATTCATCTTTGTAAAAATGCCCTACCTTCGCTAATTACTTTTCATTGTTCCCACCCCCCGCTATAGGTGATCTTCTGGGATTAACATAGTGTAATATTAATTATTTTTTTCTACTCGCATTATCTCTTGTAAAAGTGCTCCGTGATTTCATCACAACCTGCAAACAAAACAAACCGATAAGAATGCTGAGGGAAATGCAGAAGATTCGAGATTTCCACTTGCCAATATAGATTAACAAAGTACAGATAAAAAATTAAAATAAAATGACCAGAAAAATGTAGAGAATTCAAGGATTTTTGTTCTGCAGGGAGAACTACAAAATAAATGTATCCTCCATTATTCATACGTTAATTTATCTTGAATAAAATTTGCATTGATAATTTCACTCATGTAATTAAGAATCAATGTTGTTGGTTTGACCTAATTTGAAAGAAGCATACTCACGCTCTCTCGCTCTCTTTTTCTCTCTTTACACACACACATACATACAATTATATGGTATGTCTCTTTAAAATCATCCCATTCTATCACTTCCGCAATAAAGCTGTGTTGCATGCAAATGCTTATCTTTCTAATGTTAGACAAGATAATCTGTTGTATTATAATATACTAGAAACATTTGTTCATCTATGTGTCAATGCTGCTCAGTGGTGCATTATGGGTATTATTTTAACGCTTATCGGGCGGTTTCAAATTATTCTAACGTCTATTGAATAGAAATGCACGTGAATCCGAATAAGAAAATAAATAAGTAAATAAGTATAATTAAATAATTCAAATCAATAATTATACATATTAAGTTAGTAATAAGCAAATTTCCAAACACTGACTTTACATATAACACAAGTAAGCGTAATAATAACAAAGAACAAAAATAATAAAGTAATCAATATTAAATGATGAGTAAAATAGTTAACATACAATAATATAAAATACCTACAAAGCGCATTCAAATGCATAATTATTTCTACTCAATAGTCCTTAGAATACATTTAAACATAACCGTTAACGCTCACCCAATAACCATTACAATAAAAATAGACCTAGTCATTGGCCTGCATATATAAACAGTCAAGCAAAGGGAGAAAATTAGAGGAATTTAACTTAACGTTTTTCTAAACAAAAAAAAAACGATATTTTATAAAACCACACACCCAATGAACGAGGCACTCAATGGGATGTGTCTGATCATAATTTCAATGTAAACAATTGGGCTTTAATTAAAATCAAACAAAAATTTATTAAGGCGTAAAAGGTATAGGATCTGCGTTTATTTCTATATGATTACCGGTAAATTTATAACATTACACTTTTCTTAACAGTTTTTTATTATTATTATTATCACTATGTAGTGTGTTGAAAATAAAAGATTTAGAAAAATATTGACTGTGTGTCCGGACACGTCGAATAGCGAACATTTTGAAATATTAAATTTTAAATGTGTTTTTAATTCAAAGTCACTATATTTACGGGGAATTCCCTAGGTGACTAATTATTAACGGCGTTTGTGTTTACATTCCCACTTCCATCTACATATATATATATATTTAAGTCGGTGGCGACTCCGGGGGTCGGGATTTCGGGCTAAGCCAGAATTAGTCAACATTCAATTATATCTATTTCGAAACATCAAAAATCATTCGTGGTGCGTCGTTTTCATTCTTAACTTCAGCTGTAGGGTTAGGGTGTGGAGAGTGACTGGGGTAGTGTTGTGGAAATATGATATCAGTCAGTAGTATTGGTCATAAACGTACAATAAACTAAACTAAAAATTCGCAGAAGGAAAGGTACATAAACACACTAACGCATAGACATATATAGAAAGACACATTCTACATCCAGTGATTTGATAACCAGGCTATAAAACAATAAAAAATGGAAAGGGGGCACTAAACAGGCACACATATAAAAGACTTTGTCCTCACTCTTTTTTCTCATATGTTTGGAATTATTTTTAAATAAGTGTTCATAATTACAGAATTATTACAAGTAATATTAAAATACCAAAATGTATCTGTTTTAATTACATTAGATCTTTTTAAAGATTATATATTCTAGTTAAAGGATTCATTTCAGTATCTAAGTTATAACAATAGTATATTTTGTTAAAGATTGTAACGAGCCTGACAGACATTAATGACATGGAGTCGCCACTGATATATGTCCATCAAAAACAATATTTCTTAAGGCTAATGGAGTCACTTTAGAGGATGAAACATGTTACACGATTTTTTTTTCTTTTTACACCTTGTCATTCAATTGCTTAATATGTTATATAATAAAGGCGAAAATGTATGTGTGTGTCTCACTTTTTCAATTAACGGGATACAGCTCTCTAACTTACAATTATCTCAACTTTTTTTATCGAACAAGTTATATAATATATGCGAAAATGTCTATGTCACACTTTTACAATTAAAGGTACACAACTCTCTAACGTTCAATTATCTTACTTTCTTTATATAGTTTCTGATATAATAATGAGAAAATGCCTGTAGGTCACACTTTTTCAGTTAAAGTGAGACAATTCACTGAAAAATTCTTACATCTGGGGCGATGTTCAAAGACTCAACCTGAAAAAAAAACGAGAGTTAAAATCACAGGTGATTTTTATCAGGAATATTCGCTGCTTTGCTGTTACAGCATTGTAACTGAACCATTAAAATAGACCAAAATAACGATATTTCACTCCCAAATTGTTGTTGAGTTTAAATCTCAAGTATCCAAGACCTGATTAACCATGCTTATCAAAACATTAAACACCATTACTTGGATTCAAAATGGCTTTCCGAGATCGTCATAATATTAGCAGAAAAGAATCAAACTGTGGATGACATCAAATGGAAATTCTCCAAGAAAGTAAAAACAAAAAGCAAGAAGTACGTATTTATTTACACTATGGTTGAACAAAAGCAAGCAGTGAATTACCTAAAAGAGTTTCTGAACACATTGAATCCGCCAGCAAGGAACTAAAAGAAAATGAAAATGTGCCAGTTATGCTGTATATATATATATATATATATATATATATATATATATATATATATATATATATATAGAGAGAGAGAGAGAGATTTTTTCGTTACTTAACTATATATATATATATATATATATATATATATATATATATATATATATATATATAGTTAAGTAACGAAAATCTTGGTAATCCGTATGGATAATCCTAAAGCGGATGAAATCCTGAGAGCTCGATGTTAATTCAGAGCGAATAATTTAATTTAAAGAAAAACAGACAACATTAAGGCTCAATTGTAATAATTTATTTCACAAGAGACTTTTATTTTTCCCTGGATCTTCACAATCACTTTCAAAAGGTGAAACGAAAAATGAAATTAAAATTTTACACTTTTGACGGGCAGTATTAAGTTTATATAACTTGAGATAGAAGTTTGTGAGGGATAGTGTGAGAGACATGGTCGATTTTAGAGAGGGAGGAGAGTTTTAAAATTAATATTTTATATTTCTATTTATTATAAACTTAATATTGAGGAAGGGGGGCGGTAAGGATCAGATATTGACCTATTTAATCGGTCAACTCAACGGGAATGATATGGGAAATGAAAAGGAGAAAAAATGGGGAAAAAGAAAAACGGGAGAAGTAAAGAGAAAAGTGATGTATTTGGGGTTTTCGGAGGAAGAAGAGGTGGGGTATAGCTTTAGCAATTTAGGTAAAAACAGATTTTAAAACTGTCCCTTCCCTCTCTAAACTCGACAATGTCTCTCACACCACCCCTCACTAACTTCTATGTCAACATATATAAGCTTAATACTGCCCGTCAAAAGTGTAAATTTTAATTTCATTTCACCTTTTGAAAGTGATGTCTGAATATCCTGGGATAAGTCTCTGGTGAAATAAATTATTACAATGGAGCCTTAAAATGGTCTGTTATTCTTTATATATATTCGTTTTAATCATTTATATATATATATATATATATATATATATATATATATATATATATATATATATATATATATATATCGCTTCCTCAGTGAAGTTTCCCAAATCATTTTTCGTTTATATATATATATATATATATATATATATATATATATATATATATATATATATATATATATATATACATAAAATGGACAAAGTCCGACAATTTATTTATTAAAGACATTTTTATGTTTAACGTTCTTTTTTATAGATACAAGTATTTAAGTAAATGCTCTGTTTATAATAAACAGTATTAAATAACATTTAGCGCCCTGAATGTCCGAGAAAGGTTAGGCACGTCAGTGTAAATGACGGTTCAGTATAGGATGCAGGTTCGAATCTTGTCAAAGGACGAATATTTTCTATGAAAATTTCTCGGACATTCAGGCCGGTAAATGTTATTTAATACTGTTTATTATAAACAGAGCATTTACTTAAATACTTGTATCTATAAAAAAGAACGCTAAACATAAAAATGTCTTTAATAAATAAATTGTCGGACTTTGTCCATTTCCTAATATATGACGTCATTTTTTTACATTTGATACGCCAGGGCAGTTATGAATGTACGAGATTCATGGAAGATTGAAATTTATAAGCAGTAAAATTCGATCTTGCCTACCGAACGCTCCTTTGTGGCCGAGAGATTAGGCACGTCATCGTAAATGACGGTTCCGTATAGGATGCAGGTTCGAATCCTGTCAAAGGACGAATATTTTCTATGAAAATTTCTCGGACATTCAGGCCGGTAAATGTTATTTAATACTGTTTATTATAAACAGAGCATTTACTTACATACTTGTATCTATAAAAAAGAACGTTAAACATAAAAATGTCTTTAATAAATATATATATATATGCACTTGCTGTCAGTAAAATTTCCAGAAATCTATGATCGTCTTTTAAAGAAAATTTATATATTATGCACATACACATGCACACACACACACACACACACACCACACACAGATAGATAGATAGATAGATAGATATGTAAGTATAAACACTGAAATAGTAACAGTTATTTAATCTATGAACTCATTTTACGTGTTTTTTCGAAATTTAGAAGTAAGGAATCAATACGGCTCTAGTTAATGTTGACATAAGGACACAGTGGTAATCAGAAAAATTGTATGTTTCTCATCAATTTTCTCATCGGAGTGACCGGCATTCACCAGAGGCGCCATTGAGAAGAATCAATAAGGTGAAGTAATAAATAGCTAATAATTACAAATAGAGATCATCTTTATGTGTTAATGAACAATTGACAAAGTGCTGCAGACGCTATGAGTCAGAGTCACCAGACGGCGTATTTAATCCAGTGTGGCCATTCATGTAATAACTCGTAATCCTCCAAAATCAGCTTTTACAGATTAATTTCTGGAAGATGGTATTTGTTTCTCAGCCTTTTCGCTTAAACCTGAGTACAATTTTAGAACTTCAATCTATGAATTTTCGCACAAGTTATTTTACTTCGATCCTGTAATCATGTGTCGAAATATCCAGGATGTTCAGTTGTTTTAAGTGATAAGCGATCGCACTGCTGAGAAATCAGAGAGCCGAGTTCGAATACCAGGCGTGTTCTTTACATTCACTTACGCGCAAATACACTAGAGCAAGATATGAAACCACCCATAAATGAGAAGCCTCTTCTCAGCTATAGGTTAAATAGTAGGAATTTGTGAAACTTGCACCAACGATAACTGCATATAAACAAGAAAAATCAGGAAGTAGGAAAAGTCAATTGCTGATGTCCCCTGACGAGTGGACGGATGGGCCTTTCTACGAAACTCTGCAGTCAGGATCTTTTACCCACCCCAAAAGAGAAATCTTCCTAATTCCTATCAGGATGGTTGATGCCCAAATCCATGAGAACACTTCTCTGGGTCTGCTTGATTTCACGCTGAATACTGACCTGGGGTGGAACAACTACATTGAATCTATAGCTTCATCTACCGCAAGGAAATTTGGTTCTCTGTTTCGCGCCAGAAGGTTGTTCTCGCCCGAGTCCTTACTTCAAATCTACAAATCAACCATTCGTCCTTGCATGGAATACTGCTGCCATATATAGTCTGGTGCTGCCGCTGTTCATCTCAAGGTTCTAGACAAAATCCAGAGACGGCTGTGCAACGTGGTTGTTCCTGATCTGGCATCCCGCCTGCAGTCGGTATCTCACAGACATGCCCTGTCTTCCCTCTGTCTTTCCTACAAGTAATTTCATGGCAACTGGAGCTAATTTCATTGGTTCCCAATTTCATGAATTTAAATGTGCTACTATGTTGGCATCTGGGTCCCACACTTTCACTGTCGAAATGATTAAATGTAGCCATCTCTTCTACTCCAACAGATTTGTATCTCGCACCTCCCGTCAGTGGAACTCTCTTCCTATCACTTTATTCCCTGATGGCTATAAGCTGCAAGTTTAATGCCAATCGACATCTTCTGATGCCTTTACCTCGATCCCTGCCTTCTCTTTATCCTTTTCACAAACAATCCTCTTTACTCTTACTCTCACTTATTGTAACCCCTTGCATGTTAGTGGCATTCCTGCCTTGCTTGGGGCGAATTGCTTAAAAAAGTCTATCTGAAAAATCAGTATTATCCTTATAAGATTGTTAATTTGCTTTAAAGAAAAATGATTCTTATAAATCAAACTATGTTTCGGCTTTAAAAATCCACAAATATGTTAAACCTTTAGAAGTTTAAAAACAGCTTAAATTTAAATTGTTAAGCTTTTTTTTTCTTCTGGCTTAAAAATAGATCAGACACTCTTTAGATGGATGAAGTTCTCATACGAACGAAAATATAATTATGTTTTCTTTGTTTTCATTTCGAAATTAAATGATTTTTCCTTTATCTATTATTTGGTTCGAGGCATCATTTCAGATTTTTTTTAATATTGTAGGTTTCTCTCATCTTCTCTTGAAGTGACTTGCAACAGTTTTTACTGGTTTATATCTTATTAGGACTACAGCTTTATCACTGATATCAACAAGTAACCGATAAGAAAAAACACTAATTATATTCATCCCAAGGGTATTCCTTCGAGGTTCGTCCGAAAGCTTAATCAGAATTTTAAAAAAATAAGCTTGTTGTTTTTGTTTTTATATGATTATAACGGTTAGAACTAGAAAATGGAAATTATTTTAGTGATATCTGTTTGATTTTTTTCTAAAATTCTAAAGATGGTGTTAAAAAATAATTTTATTCGCGAGCATGGAATCATCATCTCGAAAGTTTCTGAGCAGATTGAATTTGCTCAGAGCAATAGCAAAGCATCCATAATGCGATAATTACAGGATCGCCTATAAATGAATAGAGCAATTACTACTTTAGAAAAAATAATTTAGACGTATCCGAAATATTAATTATATCTAATGCATCATGACGCTATTAAAACAAATCTTGATAGATTTAAATATATGTTGCTTTCCACTACTGCGAGAAAACCATATTCTGCATTATATGGTAAGTATACTTTTAAATTATTAACAGCATATCTTTACTCAAAGCGGATATAATTATTAACTAGTTAAAAAAAGTTTAAATAGTTCGTATAATGGCATAGTAATCTACGATGTTTATTTCAGTTACAGTTTCACGTGGGTGAAAAGTTTCATTTGATTTGAAAGAAAGTGTTAGTTCATCTCACAAACTGACAAGCGATTAGAGGACTGAAGTTGAGCAAACCATTGTTGCCATAATTGTACAAAAGCACAAGAAATGTGGACGTGTCGACGGTATAGAGAAGTGAGCAGGTCGGCCATTTAAGCTGACACAAAGTCTGTTCGTTTTATCAGATGAACAGGCGATGAAGACCCGAGGAAATCGGCTGCGGATGTTGTTAATGACATCAAAGAAATGTGTACCTTTAATGTTTTTACTACAACAATCAAACGTATTCTCAATAAGAATGGTTTACATGACGGAGAACTGCGTAAGAAAACACTTTGAAATCGAGATAAAAAATAGAGTAGAATTGTGTAGAATAGTTAGGAGTCAAATTCATCCTTTTAGGATAACGTATTGTGGTCAAATGAAAGAAAAAAATCGTCAACTAATTTGTGTCTGATGTCACCAAATAAGTTTATCGTAATCATGGAAGGTATCATCGGAAAAATCATATCAAAATGTGGCTTTGGAGTTCTATTACCGACAATAGTAGTGATGAGGTCTATATTACCATTAGAATTGGGAATGCTATATATTACTTAAATATATTGAAAGAAAACATGGAACATTGATTCGAACGATTGAGGAAGAGGGGCCGCATTTAGGATTAAAAGAATTTCATAGGAATCAACATTTCAGATTGCTCGAATGCCCTCGTATGTCGCTGAATTTATATTTAAATTTTAGTCCTTTAATACTAAGACTGGAGTCATTTCTTCGGACAGTAGGCATGAGCGATGGTTTTTGTAGATGGTGGGTTTCCCAGACTGAAGGTTACCTCGCACTTGGTCATAAAAGATTCAAATCAACATGGCGTTTCTTGGCGTAGGAGTTGCCAGAATGTGTTCCCTCTTGACAACCAACCACCTTCGAGGATCCACTTTGGACTTTCTGTCTGGATTTTCGTCCAGAGGCTTTTCCCTATTTGGATATGACCACGAGGAATTTTAAAATTAGGTCTTTCCTTCACTTAGATGATATACCTTCCTAGGCTGTTAAGCTACATCTACCTGTATATATATATATATATATATATATATATATATATATATATATATATATATATATATGGGGGGGGTGAAAGTGACATGTTCATCATTAATTAATCATACCTAAGGATCAGAAGCCCATGAAGGATTGAAATAAAGTTCAAATATATAAATATAATTCCAGGATTATTATCAGACTTGATTCATGATGATCTTCGCTCTCTCTAACCTTCTAACTTTCTGTCCTAGAGTAACAAGTTGCCTCACACGTTTCACGCACGATTTCAGTTTCAATCTTTTTTCATGGCTCTTTGGACTGTCATAGCTGAATCACGTTTCTTACGTGCCAAATATCTTATGAATTGAGTTGGATCTTTTCTAACTCATCTCTTTAGATCTAAGTTGAAATCATGATCCCTCTTCATGTTGTGACCTCCTGATCCAGTTTTCCTCTCCAATGTTCTGTCTTTTTTAACTTATTCACCGTTCTCTTGATGGTTCTTCAATGGACTTTGAGGGTGGAAGCCAGAATAAGAATGTTCGTACTATCACTGAACACCTGAATGATTTGTTTTTGTTTCACGATTTCTCAGTTGAGAAGACAGTGGGTTTGGCACAAAACGATTTTAACCTGTTCCTTTTTAACTGAATATCTCAAAGGGTTTATCGGTGATTTTTAGGACATATTGTGTCTAGATAGATAAATGTCTTATCTAAAAACCTGGAAAAAAGAAACTCAATTTGTTTCATCTTTTATTTAGATATGGTACATTCCGTGGGTTGGCCAATTATGGTGTTACACGATTTGGACAATTATACTCTTACATTATACTTTTTATGAATTATTTTAAACCTTGTGCAATTTCTTTATATATTTGAACAATCTGGTAACGTGCATTGAATGAAAATTTCGGTTTAAAATTATTAGTGTATCATAGAGTTCGATAGCAAATACTTAAAAGCTATTAGATAAATCGAATACTTCTCCGTGCATTCCGAGGAAAATCATCTTTCTACTAATAAATTTGACATGGATTTACTTAAATGCGAAGATAATCTGTCCCATAAAATAAATACTGTTTGATTTGTTTTCTACAGATTATTAACCTTTTTTCAATTTATTAAAAACCAGCATTTTTGTAGATTGTAAGGATCAGTAATTATTTAATGATCCAAGTCCTTCTAATTAGTCCATTGCTGTGGGGAGAATAGGTGGATTAATACATTTTCCAAAAGTAATTGCGCCTTAATGAAACAGACTGAAACTGGAACTCGGCTCTCCAATTAAATATTCTGAGCTGTTATCCATTATACCACCGGTTGCATCCAAGTTTAGAGCACCTAATATTCTCAAGCTGTCATCCATCTAGATATTAACCTGACTAGACGTTGCTTAACTTCGGTGATCGTACGAGACACTATCAAAGAAATATAAAGAATAGCATTACTATTTTGGCCTGTTCACATGTTTACAACATGAATCCTTTGTCTTCTGTGTTTATCTCTTTTAGATAGTTATTACGAAATCGTTTAGCCGATAAGATTTTTACGACATTATTGTTGCCACCAATAACACATCATGAAATAGCTCCACACCATCCACATCTTCATCAGGAATATACCGATGATTTACCATCATCGTTATTTTATTTCGCTGATCATACGCTTGTCTATGTACATTCATAATTCTACCATCATGCAACATCAATACTTGCATTCCTTTCCATCGTATCACAACACCTGCTAATTTTTCCTTGTCTCTCTAGTTGTAAAATAAATCATCACTATTAAATAAAGCTTCCATATTGCGAAGTTTACTGTTTAATTTTCTTTTGCTAAGATCTACAACGAATTGGAAGTAGTGGAGAGCCATGATAGCTAAAATCCTGAAAGCACATAAAAGTTGAAGAAATTCAACGACATGATCACATGCATGGGAATTACCAAACGTAATATTGGAATTTGGTTTGAATTAACGACAAAACAGTCATAGAAATGATATAATCAGTACACCTTTCTTTAGGTATCAGGAGTTAGTTCATCTAAAAGTTTGTGTTAACGATTTGAAGAAAAAAATGAGATGGATAATGATTTTGAAAAATATGACGGTCTCTTCCTTATAGGTCTTACGGTTCTCTTACGACCACTTAAATTAAGCAACATCGAGGCTGGTCAATACTTAGATGAGTAACCGCTTTGAGAAAACCAATTATTCTAAGCTTCCTTTTGCGTGAAGTGTAATAGAGTAATTTAAGATGTTTTGCTTTTATTCAATTTACTTTAAGCTTAAACAAAAGCGGAACATGTTAAATTGATAAACGTTTCTTATTTGTTCCTCATTTTATCAGATATGCATGCGTTTGTATGTTTATTTTTTTTATATATATCACGTAATTGTAATAGCTAAAAGATACAGTTTACCCTATGCATGTCAATATGTCGACTCAATAATCAACAACAGATAATGTTTCTGATTTTTATGTTCCCAGTTTTGCTCAACTGATTTTATATAAACCTAAAATTGTTCGTGTGTGTTTGTCATAAATTAAAATTTTACTCTTGCAAGGTTTGTTTTGTTTGTTTGTTTTTTTATATATATATATAAAACAGCTATACATAATGTTAACATTCATTTCTTATTATCTCTGTGTCTTTGTGTTTTGGGGAGATTTGGATGCCTTCGCGCATGCTCATTTGTTAACCATTACTAGACGTAGATTTATTGGCGAATCAGCTAGCAGGACGAAACAAATTTTCTAGTTTTGCTGAAATAATTACACACTATTTATTCATCTTTCTTAATGACGGGATTCATAACAGCCGAAAACCATGCTGGGCAACTAATTAATTCTATACAAATGACGTAGTAGTTTCGCAACAGGACGCAAACTACAGGTTGTGTCTGTTCGTTTTAACTCTCGAATGTGATGTTTGCACTCTGTCTAACGTTATTAGATATTTCGTTTTTTTATTGGCATATAAAATAAATACACATTGGAAACTAAAGTTTTATTTGATGAATAAAGTTCTGAAACAGCACACACGTACACACATACAAGTATCATTGAAGACGACTGACAAGCCGCTGGGGTTAAGCTTTTTAATTTTTCTTTCCTTCGTAAAAGAATTTATCTGTATAGTTTTTAACATCTTTTCAAAAAATCTATGGTTGTAAGTGGGTTCAGTTCTTCCTACAGGAGTAGACGCACGTTCTTTGTACTGTTGATGAGTGCATATTCTTTAATAAGATTTCGTGAATGTTCAAAACTGAAAATGAAATAAAAATACTGTTTAAAAAATAAACGGCGCATCTATTCTAATATGAGTATCCACTAAAATAACGTTTAAATTTATAAAAATATATCCAGTTAATAATACCTATTATGAAGGATTTTTGTTTACTTAATATGTAGATATCTTTTAATGTATGCATATGTATGTATGCGGGTGGAAATGTCTTTAATTTCAGAAAACTTCAGAAAAGATACTTGAAAATAAAACATCCAACAATAAAATACAAGAAACCAAACATGCTCGATAATAGCTAACGATAACAAAAATATTCAGACGTTAGTAAATTTATATTTAAACATGTACCCCCGCCCAAAATGATTCGGATTGTAAAACAAAAAGTACGCATTGGTAGCACTATCGGCTATAACAGAGGGGTCCCCTGAGAAAAGAAGTACTCAACCATGATATATATATATATATATATATATATATATATATATATATATATATATATAATAACGACAAATCAGGTGAAACCTTACAAAATCTATCTCGGTTATAATCTCAAAAGCAACGTGCATATATATATATATATATATATATATATATATAATATATATAAAAAGTGAACATAGAAGTCAACACTTAGAGGCGACAGTCTGTTTCATGCTAGCTGCAATCGTCAGGCCACTTGCTATATGTATATATATATATGTTAAAAATAATTATAATATATATAGAGAGATATATAGATAGATAGATATAATGTAAGCATTATTTTCCGTTTATTTTGCAAGCATTAATTTTATTCCGTCTTCATTGCAGAGTGTGTATACGAGAAATTACGTTCTCTTGTAGGACACGAAACCATGTTCACCCCTGCTGAATAAAGTACTGCTTGATATCACGTGCCTTTGACTACACGGCTACGAAGAGCTTCGTAATCAAAGTAAGATTTTATTTTTCATATATATATTGTACCGGAGTAATAAATAAAATCCAGTAATTCATTAGAAATTCCTGCGTTCACCTTTCAAATAATAAACTGAGCATTTTTTTTTTTACTTGCGAATTAATTCAAACGAATAAAAAAAGAAACTTTTTTGATCATGATTCTCTTCGTAGCCGATTGTTCAGACAGGTAAATAAAATACTGTTAAAAATGAACACTGTTAAAAAACGGAGGTTCTATTCAAATGTGGATATCCATTAATAAAATAATAAACAAAAGTCTTCTATACACACACACAAACACACACACACACACACACTCACAAACATACGCGGATATATATATATATATATATATATATATATATATATATATATATATATATAAAAATAGGAAGGAACTGGTTAGGTAAATAATCCAAAGTCCCTTAGTATTTTAGTTATTATTTTTTAAAATAGTGCTCGATACAAAAGTAGAGCATAAATATAATTATTTATTTAAAAATAGGATTCATCGTAAGTCCCACATTTTTTAAAAAAAAGCATAAAATCCCCATATTTCAATTAAATTGAGAACCTGTTCCATCTTTCGCTTTTAAGCTTATTTTAAATTTAATTTAAATAATTATATTGAAGTTTTCGGCTCTTGTTTTGAAACATGGGACTTCTTATGTCGTTATTTGGAATCATATTTTTAATTAAATAATTATACATATATATATATATATATATATATATATATATATAAATACCAGTGTGTGTGTGTGTGTGTGTATGAAGAATGTTGTTTATTATTTTATTAATGAGTATCCATATTTGAATAGAAGCTCCGTTTTTAACTGTATTTCCTTTACCCGTCTGCACAAGTGGTTACGAAAGAAAATCATAATCAAGCAAGTTTCTATTTTTTATTCGTTTATATATTATTATATATCTTATATATATATATATATATATATATATATATATATATATATATAATTTTAACTTAGCCCATTTCATCATTATATATATATAGATAGATAGATAGATAGATAGATAGATAGATAGATAGATAAAAATCTTTGAATTAATGTAGTATTCAATGAAAGCATACTCTTTTTCGCAAAGGGAGTAATCATTAATTGGTTTGTTCATAGTGTTCAGGTGTTGCGTTCAAGGATTGATATTTGAGGTTTTCAAAGAAACTGTTTAAGTTGATGTTATACATGATTAATATACGAATGCTTAATATAAATTTACATTGATTTTTGCATGTATACAGAAAAGCATTATATGCAATCATTTTAAAGATGCTGTTTTCGCAATCTGATTCTAAATCAATAAAGAACAAATGAAGAAATCACATGTCCTATTCAATCATTTTCTATCTGGAGTTTGGCATTCGAAACAATAAGACACATGATTCCTGCATTTACAATGATTACTTGGAATATAGCATACGGTTTCACAAACTATATATTCTACATTTTGCTAATGCAGTATTGTGTAACTGAGTATTAATTCCATCTGTCATTAACCATATAATGGATAAATTCACTTCCGTTAAGTTTGTGTCATGCGTGATAAACGCTTAGGCGATCATGTATCTTTCGATACATGACTGACGAGGCATATTTTTTTCCCGCAGTATGTTACTATTTCTTTCTGCGGTAGACCAGTTGCCATCCAAGGTTAGAGATCCCGTTCTGTCCTGCTATTTACCTATAGATAGGAGTGAAGAACAGGATTCATACCTTTCGCAAGGTTATTAGCACGTAAGTGAATGTAATAGATTCGACTGGAATTCGAACTCTGCCCTCTGATTCTTTACTAAAATTTAAATTATGTGTATAAAAGAAGTATCATAGTATCATTGTTTCACGTATCATTGATGTAAATATAATAACGGCTGTATACTTTTCAAATATTCAGAAAAGGTATAAATATGAGAAGATTAAATAGGAAAATATTTATTTCGAAAGAAATAATAATAATAATATTGTATTAGCCCAAAATTCAGATACTGCGATAAATATCCAGAAACAATTCATCTTGTATCAGGTTGCACGGTATTGGCACCCACTGAATATAAAATCCGGCATGACAGAATGGGCCAATATCTGCACTACAAAATTTGCAACTTCTACGGGAAGGAAACTGAAAAAAAAAATTGGTATGAACACCACCCAGACCAGGTTACGGAGATATGATCTCTTACAATATTATGGAACTACAAAATACTCACATACAGAACAATCAAATCTAACCGCCCAGACATTGTTATTAGAGACCACAAACAAAATCTCAGAAATGAGGTACATGGGAACATTAACAAACCGTTTTGTAGTTGGAACCGTCGGGTTGGTTGGAAAAGATTCCAGTAGACTCATTGAAGAGATTCCTGGAAACGCATGCCTTAAAGAAATTAAAAATAAACATTGTTCTCAGGGGTACAGCCCACACCTTAAGAAGGGCTTTATCCATGTAAAATGTGTTTGTTTTTTTTTTAGCTGGACAGTGGAAAATGTCATGATGCCATTTCTAAACTTAGGTCTCTAGGCGGATAGAGATAAGTAAATAAATACTACTACTGCTACTACTACTACTACTACTACTAATAATAATAATAATAATAATAATAATAATAATATATCCTCCTCTGACATTTCCTCTGGTAGTGTTCTTTGTGACTAATAATTTAAAACTTATTACAGTCAATAGCCTTTCCATATCTTTATGTTACCCCCTGAATACAGTACTAGATGATTAACTCTTGAAACATAGATATCTGAATATACCCGCACCACCCCTATCTCATGTGCAGGACGAGCTACTTAGCGTTGGTGAACAGTCATCCTAGAGCTGTTACCGTGAAGAAAATTATCCCTTGGTGGTCAAGGATAAAACGCCAAAATTACAAATCTCAATGATTACGAACACATACTCATATCGGATTGGTCGTCACCCAAGTCAACACGGGCCGCGTATCTCAAAGAGGATCCATTCTTGGGCCGGAAAATCTAAGACTTGAACAAACTCTACCAACAACGAAGAGACATCTCGTTACCAAACCCGGACTATTTACAGCCTTGTAACAAATAACTCAATGCCAAATAAACTAATAAAAAGACAGCGAACGAAATGGTCCCACGAAAACTATCAGCAAATCATGTCATTCTTTTTCACTGCACTCCACAAAACAACATTACAGATCAGGCATATCAAATATGGAGAAATATAGTAGGAACTAGAATAATACCCCATCTGAAGCTAAACATGCTTTTCAATGTCCACAGGGACATCGTGTGAAACAAAAGACTCACATACACAGAAATAGATAACATAAAACTAGATATAAGACAGAATACAATAACCCATCACTCAAACAATAAAGGAATGAGAGTAGGAATACATCATATGACAGAGGATGAAGTAGAAACTAAAATAAATGAGATACGGAATAATAATCTCCCAGGAAATAAAACCGAAGGGTCTACCTGCGACATAAACTGCAGTTATCCAGATTATGTCACTGATGATGAGTCAAAATACATTAAGAATTCTTTGAAAACAATAGAGGTGAAATCACCGAAGCGAAAAACCATATCATCCGAGTATTCATCACAGTAACTCTCATACAAATATCAGACAGAAACCAGTTACCAAATATTCATATGATAAAGTTCAATAAATACTGTGCAAATATAAATGCTGCAGTGCAAACACTGTTAACAGGCAAATCACTGGGAAACATCACAGAAGTAAATAATGTCATATATGAAACAGATTTAGCTGCTACTGGGAAGACTGAGTTCAAAACAATGAAATGATCAAACAACAGACAAAAAGAGCCAGCTTAGAAGGCAACATTGATGCGAGAAATAAAGGAAATCATATGTGAGAAATCGATACTAGATGAGATCACGATAAACACAAATGTCTCAATACCCAAATTGCAGGGAGATCAAGCGGATATATGCATTAAATGACTAAATAAAATTACAGCAATCAAGAAAATGCAAAAATAGATACTGCATTTAAAGGCGCAGAATGCAAGACGATACGAAAAGCGTCGTATGTTCTGTCTATATTTCTGAGATGAGGTATTATATACACCATTTACATTATTCGGACTATTGTCCTCATCTTTGTCGCCATATTTATTACAACGTTTCGGCTGTTGTGCGCTCTGGCCTTTTTCAGGTGGTCTAACTGAACCTTTTATGTCGCTCACTGGGTTAGACTGTTCTAGTTGCACGTGCCATGTCTAACGGATTCCAGTTATCAATTATCTCCTGTTAATTTCCCTCTCCAAGTTTTACACCACCTTAACCAGGTATTGAACTCACACACTTTGTGTCCTGTCACTGGATCTAGCCAACGCCTTTATCCACTGTGCCATGTGTCCTTAAGGCAATTAACTATTGTTAAACAAAATGATCCTGGAAAATTGCGGGAAAAGAGGAAGAAATCTCAGCACAACACGAATAGATTACCGTAAAGTCTTTGATTGTGTGCTATTGGATCCTTAAGAATTTGGAGTTTTTGAAAACCGCATCATACCTAAATCGCACAAAAAGCACTTCCTCCTGAAAACGCCTGAATGTTTGATGAGGAATCTTTCAAAGAGACTCCATGTCACGCCATCTGTTTCGTCTGTCCTTAGTTCCCCTTATTTTGAACAAAACAATGACAGTTATGGATACAAACTAAACAAGAAATAATAAAAAAGCCTATTCTACATGTATGCCAAAGATGACAATGAGTTGAAAGGCCTTCTCAGTATTGTAAAATATTTCATAGACGACATAGTTATGGATTTCGGAATAGATAAAAGTGCAAAAGTAACATTCAAGAAAGGGAGAATTACAAAAACACACACAATATATGTAAATTTTGTCTCAAAAATTGAGCAAAAACAAGTCTATAGGTACATAGGAATTAGTGGAAGGAGATGGAATGCAGCATGAAGGAGAAATAAGAAAAGAATATCACAGGCTTGTGCGTCTACTTGTGAAAACCGAGTTGAATTAAAAAAAAAAAAAAAGAATATCGGCCATAAACACATTGGCTGTTCCCTTGGTGCAATACAGTTTCAACATCTTAACTGGACCATAGCCGACATTAAGCGAATGGACGCCAAAAAGCTTATCACTTGCCACCGCATTCATCATTCGATCGTTTGTATGAGCCCAGATCCGAAGGAGGCAGAAGATTAGTTCACTAGAGCTGTCTTACACAACTACAACTATTGGCATTCGAAAATACTTTGAAACTCCTACTGAACTCCTACTCCATAAACCTTATTTAAAACAATTTTCCTGTCCACATTTTGAAGATAATAATGTATGCTTTCTTTCAGAAGACTGGTTGAGAATCTCTGTCACATAACAAGAAAAATTAAGAAAATTTATTCAGTAATAAATGAAGCCAACAAGTTCAAAATAAAGTTTCAAATAAAAGATATTACACACACTGCATCTTCAAAAACCTTTAAAAAGGAAGCAATGGTAAATGCAATCGACCAGATGCAGAAACGATGGAAAGATAAACCGCTTCATGGTGAATATTCTATCCATAGAAAACAAGCTGATGTAGACGACTCCATGCCTATCAGTGGCTATGTTGTGCGTGGTTAAAAGCTTAAACCGAAGTCTTTATTATTGTTGTACTATACCAATGCTTGCCAACTAGAAATTACCAAACACATTTACTGAAAAACTATATGCCAAAATGCAGATTCTTTGATAAATATCCATAAATAATTAACCATCTTGTATTATGTTGCATGGTATTTGCACCCACTGAATATAAAAAATACGGTATGACAGAGAGAGGCAATACCTCCATTGGAAAATATGCAACATTTACGAAAGGGAAACTCGTATTAACACCACCCATACTCAATTACGCAGATCGGGCCTGTAACAATTTTATGGACCTTTACAATATACACAGACAGAACAATCAAAGCTAATCGTCCAGAGACCGTGATTAGACACCGCAAAGACAAAATGTGCCTCCATTATTGACATGACAGTCTTTGCAAATTGCAATGTTTCTTTGAAGATCTTTTAAAAAAAAAAACTATCAAAATACAAGGACCTTTAAAACGAAATCTAAAAATATGTGACATATGAGCCCATCAACAATTA